TTTTTTAAGGAATGCTACTGAAGAGAAAGGGAAAAATAAACGAGTGACAAAAGGCCCACATATAATCTCTCACTGTTGATGTTACTCAGTATTGACACATGTTGGGGCTGGGGAGGGAGGGGGGTGTGGTGGTGCGCACCGTTGGAACAGGGTCATGGAATTTTCCACTCAGTTGCAATTTACCATTATTTGTCTGAGACACCGCATACTTTACTGGGTTGATGGATAATTTTATTTGGCATAGTTCAAAATGAACTTTTGTCAAACAGGCCTTTATGTAAGACTGAATCATGAAACAATGATGAATATTGCTGCTGTATTGTCAATGTATAAAGATGCTCCCATTTATTCTGCCCTTGGTTATCACCCTTTGCACTTTTTGGGTAAGTGTACATCTGAGTCCTGGATTCTGCCTGTCATACAGTGTGAAGATGGCCTCCATTGTTACCTCAGAGTGAAGCAGGCTCAAGGTCCTATTTTAACTCAGTCTTCCAGGATATTCACACCGCATGACTCCTGCCTTACTACATATTCTAGATGTTTCTTCAATGATGGCAACACAAAGACAAACCTTTTCACAAACCTTTGCTGAGATTGGGAGGATGGCTTGTGCAAACCTAAAATCCTGACTCATTCCAACCCGTGGTACAGCACTTGATTATAACTATCTGATTTCCTGCTCATCAAAGGTTGATTTTGTTTTGTTATCAGGTTTTGCATTTCCAATGTAATTTATTTGTATGTTATACTCAGTGCGGTGCCTTTTGTGTTAAGCCTATGGCTTCTACAAGGTGGGACCATGCATTTGGTAAAACTCAGTTTTACCCATGAGACTTATGTCATTAAACAAAGGAGATCAGAGATGCTGAAAAGTAACAAATATGTACCCATAAACTGACCATCATGTATTCAAACCTTTAGCAGCTATTGTTGTTGTGCTTTTTGCACTCATAATCAATTTGATTTTGAAAAGCTTAATTTTTGCTTTAATTCCTCATTTTAACCATAAGATATAGGAGCAGAAGTAGGCCATTCAGCCTGTTGAGCCTGTTCTGCCATTCAATGAGATCATGTATGATCTGATCATCCTTAACTCCACTTTCCTGCCTTACCCCTGTAACCCTAGTTTTCTTTACTGATTAAAAGTCTGACTCCCTTTTCTGATGAAGGGTCTAGGCCCGAAATGTCAGCCTTTCTGCTCCTATGATGCTGCTTGGCCTGCTGTGTTCATCCAGCTCTGCACCTTGTTGTCTCTGTCTTGAATATACTTAATGACCCAACCTCTACAGTCCACTGCGCCAAAGAATTCCACAGATTCACTACTCTCTCCTCATCTCTGTCTTAAGCAGGTGACTCCATACACTGAGATTACACCCCCTGGTCCTAGATGCTGCTAAACGTCTCCTGAGCAGAAAATCCCTCCGTACCCAGAATCAACCTGTTTAACTTCTCTGGACTGTGTTTCCATTGAAAAGGGGACCACAACTGTTCACGCTATTCTAGGTGGAATCCAAACAGTGCCTTTTATAGCTTTATACTATTTTTACACTTCATTCCATTTGAAGTAAATGCCAAAAGTCTATTTGCCTTCCCAATTACCCTCTGAACTTGGATATTACCTCTTTGTAATTTATGTATGAGGATGCCCAAATCCCTCTTTCCTGCAGCTGTTTGCAGTCTTTGCCCTTTAAAATAATATTCAGCTCTTCCTCTCTTTCTGCCAAAGCGCATAACCTCATACTTCCCATGTTATGTTTCATCTGCCAAGTTTTTGTCCACTTGCTTAACCTGTCTAAATCTCTCTGTAGACTGTTTGTATCATGCTGGCTACTTGCCTTCTCAACCATTTTAGTATCATCTGCAAACCTGGCAATAACACATTCATTTCCCTCATCAAAGTCATTAACACTTGTCTTAAATTATTGTGGGCCCAGAACTGATCTCTATGGCACTCCACTAGTACAAGTTCATTCTGAAAATGCTCATTAATCCCAACTCTCTATCTTCTATTAGTTGATCCTCTAGCCATACAAATGTCCTATCCCTCACACCATGGGTTCTTACCTTATTAAGTAGCCAAACATGTGATTCCTTATCAAAGGCTTTTTTGGAAATCAAAATATATTACATCTACTGGTTCCCCTTTGTCTATCCTGCTTTTAACTTCCTCAAACGACACTAATAAATTAGTCAGATGTGATTTCCCCTTCATGACACCATGCTGACTCTGCCTGATTATTTTGTGCATTACTATATGCTCTGTTACTATATTCTTTATCATTGACTCTAACATTTTTTAATGACGAATGTTAAATTAATTGTCCTGTAGTCATTTTTTTTTGTGTTTCCTTCCCTTTTTGAACAAGAGGGGAGGTGATGGCCTAATGGTGTTCTTGCTGGACTGTTAATCCAGAGACCCAGATAACATTCTGGGGACCCAGGTTCAAATCCCACCAAGGCATATGGTGGAATTTGAATTTAATTTTTAAAAATCTAGAATTATGAATCTAATGATGACCAAGCATCCATTGTCAATTGTCGGAACAACCCATCTGGTTCACTAAAGTCCTTTAAGGAAGGAAACTGTCATCCTTACCTGGTCTGGCCTACACGTGACTCCAGACCCACAGCAATGTGTTTGACTCTGAACTGCCCTCTGAGCCTTTAGCCAGTGACGCCCTCATTCCGTTAACGAATAAAGAAAAGGAAAAGTGTTACACTGGCAATTTTCCAATCCTCTGGGATCATTCCAGCATCTAAAGATTCTTGGAAGATTACTACTGGTGCAGTGGTTTATTCCAGAATAGTACAGCTGTCAAAGAATTTCCTGCTTCTCTTGGATGCTTGCCTTCTTTGCAATGTACTATTTAGAAAGATAACACAGGATATGCTGTGACCTTCAGTGTCTATTAAACAATAGAAAGACTATTGAAGGAGGATTGAGTTCTCAAAAGTTTGAGAAAATAACAGAATAACACAGCAACAAAAAGCATTCAATAGGACCAGTTTCCATGTTTGGAGTACAATTGATCCTGAGCATCTTTTAAAATTGTTCAGCAAGTCTGCACTGTAATGAATGTAAGCTCCCACTACATTAATTCCATGTGCATCTTTCAGTGTACCTGGAAATTCAGATTGAGAGTGTTAATGATTTTACCGTTTTACTTTGATTTTCTGCATAGCTATATCTGATTAATGTTGAGCTTTATATTATCATGGTTACGAAGGACTTGCAATTTCTAGTTAAAGGATATTCTCAAGCAATGTTGCTCAGATCAACACACGGGGACATGGGACTGAAAGAGTATTTAAAATTATGCTCACACGAACTACACTATGGAAAAATACATTTGCTGATTGGCAGAAGTGATATATAGTGTTGAAGATAGGTATTGGATTAATTGAAATGCCACAGTTCCAAACGTGCATATTCATTACCCTGGTTGAAGTAATTCTGTGCGTGTGGTATAACAACAGGTGTGGAGATGACTTCTGAAGGCCTAAACAGTGATTCTTTGCTACATATTCTTATTATGTGCAGCCATATCATACTGTACTCAATCTTTACTTAAAATGTCATGCTAGCTCAAATGAAAGAACTGATTACAAAGTTTTTGTGACTGATAAAGAGAGGAATTTTATTACTTTTTCAACCACCACAAATAATAAAACATGATATCAAACACATACAAACTGGTATAAATTTTAAAAAGGGGCGATTGTCTGATACAAAAAGTAACATCAAGAATGTGCAGTTTAAAAAAAATCTTTATAGTCCTCGAGGTGTTAGGTTTAGCTTAAGACCACCATGTTTAATGAATAACTTGTCGCCTCAGCAGTAGCAAAATTAATGAGTATGTTTGTGTCCTTACTGAATAGATGTTTCTCCAATTTGCTTTATCCTTCAAGAAAGATTGAAAGAAACTGGGAGAGAGTGCAAACTTTCCAGTTTGCTGTTATGGGTCCATTTTTCTCTCTTGGCTCAAAAGATGTTACCTGAAAAATAGTTCCTTTGTGTATTCTCATCTTTGGCTTCATAGTTTCTTTCATAAAGACGTATAATTTGCAGACAAGTCTTTCATCCCAATATCTGAAACTTCCAGAAAAAGGTAAATCAAGGAGATACAGATCTGAGTAACTGGTTTCAGTCATTTTGATGACACATTAATTTCAGTTTAGCCTGAGTGTCCTTCATCGATGGTTTCATGAGTTTGGCTCAACTGGGTTAGGTGATCACTGCAGCCATCTTAAATAAGTGTTTTTCCTTTCTTTAAACAATTTTAGTCCATGAAAGGTCCCAGATATTCAAAAAGACAAATAATAAAGTCAAAAATTGATAGCTTATTTTGATCACTATCATAACAATGGCATAGCATTGTGAAATCTGTATCGTTAATCCTGCCTTAAATACCGGCTGTAGGCAGTTGAACATCTCACGCAAGAATGAACTAGTTGAGAACATTTCCACAGAAGTTGATTATGATGAGTTTTGCAGTAAGTCAGAACAATTGCTATTGTCATTGGGAATTCCAGTTAGGAAATGTCAACCATACCATAAGTTGCCACAAAAATATTTAAGTCCTTATTTTCCTAGATAGCGTCAGTGACATTTTGTAAGACGGCTGTCTCACAAGGATTAAATGGTAAGTCTTAAAGGCTGACTGCTCATTTTAGATGCAGGTAAAAGTTGCTAATTGAAAATGCATTTTTCAAGCAAAGTAGGTCACATTCCCCAGACCACAGTGTTTATTCCTAGAGTTATTCTCTAATTTCTGGGTTATGAGTGCTTCCTAACATAAACAATGAAAGCACAAAGAGAAAGCACAGATCACATCTCATGACCGTTCATCATTAAAGACTGACAAAGGGGAAGCAGCTGCGTAAAGATTACAGTTTCCTTTTGAATTCCATTCGTCACTGCAAGATATGCAAATTTTACCTTGTATTATGTCAGCATCATCTCAACATGCATTTAACCCATTTTTATTCCTTGTCAATAGGAACTTAGCTATTGGAATTGGACTGCAGAACTTCCCAGAAGGTCTTGCTGTCAGTTTGCCATTGCGAGGCGCAGGAGTTTCCACATGGAAAGCGTTCTGGTGAGTGAAAGCTAAATTGCTGGAGCTGATGGACTTCTTCAAGTATAGCAAATCAGACTAACTCCATTTGAAAATCTGAAGGTGAAATTTAAGTAAAAGTCTTAATATCATTCAGTTTCAATGTGTACTTACTGATGTCAGCATACTTATCTGACACATTTAAGGGAGCAGTCGACTCTCTACCATCATTCACCTGAGTGGGATAAGACACCTTGGTTTCATTCTTTTGAACGAATTGCAGCTAGAGAATCGCTTTCAATATCTTAGAGTCATAGGGACCTGCACAGAAAAAGACACATCCTTCCATCATGTCTGTGCCGGTCAACAACAGCTGCCTAACTATTCTAATCCCATTGCCCAACATTTAGCCCAGAGTCTCCCTTCCTGCTCTGTCACCCTAACCTCTGGTGTCCCCCGAGAATCTATCCTTGACATTTCCTAATTCTCATCTACACACTGCTCCTGGGTGACACAGAACCACAGTAAAATTACATCACAGAGAAAATCCAGTCTATCCTGTCTGTAGCAGCTGAATTAAATAGCCACCCTTTGTAAATACTAGTTCTAACTCTAGTTCTGATGGACGGTCACTGGACCTGAAATGTTAACTCTGCTTTCTCTCCACAGATACTGCTAGACCTGCTAAGATTCTCCAGCAGTTTCTGTTCTTGTTTCACACATTCCAGTGCTACTTCCTACACATAGTCCATAGCTCTGTCGGGTACAGTCGTTCAGTTGCAGATTCTGCTGCCTTTTAAATGAGTTGAGAGTTTTCACTTCAGCCACCAAACTGAGCAGCGAATTCCAGACACTCAGCACGCCTCTAGGTGAAAAGGTTCTTTTCCAACGTCCTTGAACAGTCATCTTAAATCTGTCACCCCTGGTAATTGACCTGTCTGCTAGAAGAAACAGGCCGTCCCTTTCCACTGTATTTAAGCCCATCGTTATTCTGTACACCTCAATTAAGTCACCGCTCAGCCTCCTCTGTTCTAAGTAAAACACTGCTAACCTATCCAATCTTTCCTCATACCTGCATTTTTCAAGTTTTAGCAACATTCTTGTAAATCTCCTCGAAACTTTTCTTTGAGCAATTATGTCCTTCCTGGAATGTGGTGACCAAAACTATATACAAAACTCTAGCTGTGGCCTAACTGTTGCCACATATAGTCCCAGCATTGCATCCCTGCTTTTGTATTTAATCTCTCTCCTGATGAAGGAACACATATGCATTCTTTACCACCTTATCTCCCTGACATTTTCACCAACCTGTGGACATGCACTTCAAGGTCTCTCACTTCCTCTACCCCTCTCAATACTCTCCTGTTTATTGTGAATTCCCTTGATAACGTACAGCACAGGAGGCTGCTAAATAAGACAAGAGCCAAACGGAGTCAGGGGATAGATACTGGTATGGATAGAGGATTGGCTGACAGGCAGAAGGCTGAGAGTAGAGATAATGGATCTTTTTCAGGATGGCAGCCACTGACTAGTGGAGTTCCACAGGGTTCAGTGTTGGGACCACAACTATTCAGGTTATACATTTACGATGTGGATGAAGGAAATGAGGGCATTGTTTCTAAGTTTGCAGATGACACAAAGATAGGTGAAGGGACAAGTAGTGTTGAGGAGGTGGGGAGGCTTCAGAAGGACTTGGACAGGTTAGGAGAGTGGGCAAAGAAGTAGCAGATTGAATAAAATTAGGGAAAGTTAGGGTTATGCACTTTGGGAAGAAGGATAGAGTCATAGACTCTTTTCAAATTGGAAAAAGGTTTTGGAAATCTGAAGCACAAAGAGATAGGAGTTGTAGTTAAGATTAACATGCAAATCAGTTGGCACTTAGGAAGGTAAATTCAAAGTTAACATTCATTTCAACAGGGCTCGAATACAAGAGCAGGAATGTACTGCTGAAGCTATATAAGGCTCAGGTCAGACCACATTTGGAATATTGTGGTCAGTTTTGGGCCCCATAGCTGAGGGAGGATGTGCTGACCTTGGAGGGTGACAACAGGAAATTTGCAAGGATGGAAGCCTTGTCATATAAGGAGCAGTTGAGGTCTCTGAGTCTGTACTCGATGGAGTTTAGAGGTTGAGGAGGATCTGATTGAAAATTACAGAATACTTAGGGGCCTGGATAGAGTCGACATGGAGATGTTTCCACTAGTAGGAGAAACTAGGACTCACGAGCACAGCCTCAGAGTGAAGGAATGACCCTTTAGAACTGAGATGAGGAGGAATTTCTTCAGGCAGAGGCTGGTGATTCTGTGGAACTCATTGCCTCAGAAGGCTGTGGAGGTCAAGTCATTGTATTTAAGAAAGAGAAAGATAGTTCTTGATTGGTAAGGTGATCAAGGCTTACAGGGAGAAGGCAGGAGTTTGGGTTGAGAAACATATCAGCCATGATTGAACAGCGGGCATGTCAATGGGCCTAATGGCCTGATTCTGCTCCTACATCTTACGGTCTTTATGTTACGTTTGCCCTCGCAAAATACATAACGTTAGACTTCTCCAGATTGAATCCCATTTTCTACATTATCTGAAAACATAAATTAGTTTTCACAGGTACAGTGACAACGCCCAGCTTGAACTTGCCGCAAGGTAACTCGACCTTTCCACTGTAACTAAATTACCAGGCTCCTTGTCTGACATTGAGTAACCAGAGCGATAAAGAGAAATTATGTGGACAGACTGAAAAGGATAGACTTTAGGGATTTTAGAAATCAAATAGGTCCAGCTGAGGCAACTGCACTTTTTTGGATTGAGCAGTTTCAAAGCAGCTGAAATACGTATGCCAGAATAGGCTTTGATTGTAATAGGCAGTATCTTCAAGGAGGCTGATTACAAAGACTGATTTAACAATTGGGTGCCATCAATTAGGTGCCATCAAGTCCTACAGTCGAGCATGCCAAGCAACCAAAGGCAGCAAGGCTTAGCTTCAGGTGTATTGCCAGCGTGCAAAGCTTCCCATCAGCTGCACATACTTGCTACATTGGATCGCGTATTCTCTAAATTGACTTTGAAAAGACAAACCATTTTTCAAGGCTCACTGTGCAGTCCAAGTTCCCTGAAGTGGTTACAACTCTCAAACGAAGCATTGTGAAAGAATCCATGTGAATGTATGAAAAATGTCAATAGCAACATTATATACACCGCATTGGGAGACTTCACAACAAATAAGAAAAACTAACTGTAGTATTCTACAGAGTCACAAACCTCCTGATTGGCTGTTCTTTGTCTTATCTTATTGGCAGTTAACTTTTTGTCTCCTTCCCAACCAAATCTGTCTTTATTTGTGAGATAAAACATTTTCTTTTCAGTGCAACCTGCTTTGATCAAATACCTACATGTCATCACACTGAGTGGTTTGTAAAGCAACAAAAAGCAGGTTTCTCGGCAGATACTTAGTGTTATCTATAATCCTACACTTCCTGATAGTTCCTATCAGGCACCGCTTCTCACAGTGTTGTGATACTCCAAGGCGTGACAGGTCTGGTCTGGGCAAATAACTTATGTTCATCTTTGTACCTGGAGTGACTTTTCTCTGGTTTAATCCCAATGCTGTGGTTGGGGGCAAGATTTAGTTGGTGGGGATGTGGGTAGAATTTCCCCTTCAGTCCCCTCAGGGGGAACAACTTAATCCATTTTTTTTTCAGAAATGTTCTATCCAGTAAAACATATCCTGGTTTCTGCCTTCTGTTTGTTACTGGCAGATTTCAGTGCTTGTGCCTGATCCACACTCAGTCCTGTTCCCAAATACCCTTGAGCTATCTGAGCTTCACTCATCTCCCATCTGCCTCTGCATCAATCAGTTGAAACCTTTATTCTTAATGACAAATCCCCCGATAACCTCATTTCTTCCATTCGTAGCCAGCACTATGTACCTGCACTCTGCTCATTTTGACTCTTGGGGATCACCTCTCTCTCCCTTCCACCTTTTCTGTCAACTTTCAGCTTTGTCTCCTTCCTTTGATTCAGCCCAGCATTTTGGAACATTTTTCCTGTGTCTCTCAGCTCTGTGTCTTCTTTATTTTACTTCAAAACCCCCTTCAAAACTCATCACTTCATCCTTGCTTAATTCCCTCCTTTTTCCCTGCTCCCTCCATTTCTCAGTCCCCAGTAATTTAATGTCTTTTTGAAGTTTCTTCTTTGCCTGAAGACCTCCTATCTTGGGTATTCACACATAGAAAGCCACTTTTATTGATAGTGTTGGTAAGGGCATTAAACAGCTAACAAATGTGCAAGTTTCAAAAGCATTTGGTACTCAAGGCATATTTAAAGGGGGGGAAGAAAAACTGTAATTTAGGTTGTCCTCCTCCTGCCTTTGTTCTATAATCCTGCAATTCTTCTACCCTTCAGGTGCTTTTCCAGTTCATTCTAAAAACCACAATTGAATTACCCTCTCAAGCAGTGCGTTTTTGATTGTACCCACTTGTTGCCTGAAAGTATTTTCCTGATGTTGCTTATTAAATGAGTATTGAGATCAGAACTCCACCCTTTTTCCATGGAGTCCCCATTCTGCAAGGCTCAACTCCCCATTGCCATTTGTCCTCCAAAACACTTCACAAAAGATGCCAAAGTAGACACAAAAAGCAATAAAATGCCACTCAATTAGAAGCGGAAGATAAATTCTAATACTATTACTTCCTTCTCCGCTGTCCTATTTTATGGTTCTATAATTCTATGATCTGTGGATCCACCTTTCCAACTGCCCTCAATCATCTCTAAAGATATTAAGTTATTTGATAACACTAAAACTTACAGCACATTGGCATCCCTGTAATTTTAATAGAAGGCATTCCATCTCTCAAATGCCAAAATCCAAACTGGAATTTTTGGATTTTGCCTAGTATTACATTAAATCCACACCAGTTCATAGAACTGAGACAGCCAGGCAGTGAAGGATAGTAGATTGAAGCCTAGTCTTCACACATGAAAATGGTTTATTTACGGAAATACACAGCAGATCATGCATCTGCAAATAACTTCCAATCTGGTCTACGTGGTTATTGTTAATCAAACTGTTTGGACATGTTATGTTACACTGCCTGGTCCGATGGGGATTTGAACACAGACCTTCTGACCCAGAGTTAGGGATTTTACCACCTGTGACAGCCACAAGTCAGACCCCCAATGAATGCTGACCATCCAAATAGAATGAACTCGCAATGTTCACACAGTTAACACCAGTTGTACACCTGCCTCATATTTTAGTTGTTCATTCAGTTTTGTCGGATGTTTTATTTTGGTGAAAATAATGATTATTTTTCTCCAACATGAAGGTACGGTCAGTTAAGTGGTATGGTTGAGCCAGTGGCAGGAATATTTGGAGCCTTTGCTGTAGTTCTTGCCGAGCCTCTCCTCCCCTATGCCTTGGCTTTTGCTGCTGGTGCCATGGTTTATGTTGTAATCGATGACATTATTCCTGAAGCTCAACTAAGGTGAGTCCTGAATGAAACAACAATCCTATGTAACTTCAATTGAGAACAAAGTGGTGATGAGTTTTGCTTTTGCCAGCTAACCAAAATAGAAAGCATTTCATCATAAGGCCTTTGTATAAGAAAGTAAAAAGGGAATGAAAACTATAGATAAGAAATTATGACAGAAAATATATAACAGGTCTTGAATACAGGATACATGGCTTTAAGATCATGTAGAGGAGACGTACTAAAATTGTATCAATAATGGGGGACTTCAAAATCGTGGGGTTAGAAGAGAAGCTGCAATTGTTTTCCTCAAAATTGAAAAGGTTAACGAGACATTTAATAAAGGTGTTTAAAATTGCAAAGGCTTTTAACATAATAAAAAGGAGAAATTGTTTCCAGTGGTCTGGAGGGTTGGTAACTTCAAGGAACATGATGGAATATTCTCCACTTGCCTCAATGAGTGCAGCCCCGACAACATTCAAGAGGCCCTACACCAATCAGGACAAAGCAACCCACTTAATTGGTACCCCGTCCATCTTCAACATTCACTCCCGCCAACATGAATGCAAACTGGCATGTACCGTATACAAAAACAAAGTTGCTGGAAACGCTCAGCAGGTCTGGCAGCAATGTGTTCACAATATGGTCTCCTCTACATTGGGGAAACGAAGCGTAGACTTGGCGACCGCTTAGCAGAACATCTACGCTCTGCTCGCAAAAAAGACCCTGAACTACCTGTTTCCTGCCACTTTGACGCACCACCCTGCTCCCTGGCCAACATCTCTGTGTCTGGCTTGTTGCAGTGTTCCAGCGAAGCCCAATGCAAGCTGGAGGAACAACAACTCATTTTCCGCTTGGGGACCCGACAGACCTCTGGACTCAATATTGAATTCAATAATTTTAGGACCTAAACTCTCCCATGTCCCAGCCCCCCACCCCACACACCAGGCCTTGTTACCCACATACCCTGCCACTACACACCCCCTGTTGTTAGTCACTAACAGTCCCCATTAACAACTATTCACCCTCCCAGCCTGATCGTTAGCAACTCCTTTGTCTGTCCAACTGTCTTTCTCTCTCTTTGGGCTCTATCCTATCGTTTACTCCCTACCCCACCCACCTCCCTATTTTCTGCATATAAACTGACATTTTCCCAGCCACCATCAGTTCTGAGGAAGGGTCACTGGACCCGAAACGTTAATTCTGTTTTTTCCTTCACAGATGCTGCCAGACCTGCTGAGCTTTTCCAGCAACTTTGTTTTTGTTCCTGATTTACAGCATCCGCAGTTCTTTTGGTTTTTATTTACCATATACTAGATGCATTTCAGCACCTCGCCGTGGTTCCTTAAACAGCAACTCCTGTACCTGTGGCCTGTCCCACCTGAATAAATAAGAACACCACCACCTGTAAGCTGCGCTGTGAGCAACACACCAGACTGACTTGGGACCCTCTTGTTAGATCCCTCACCACCACCACAGACCCAGTCCAGCAGCTGTGTCCTTTAGAATTCTCCCAACTCAGTCATTACTCAGTCATTCTTAGTAATGAACATTGAAATCCCCCACACAGAGAATATTCTGTGCCTGTACCACCCGCAGTCCTTCCTCTAACTGGAATTTAATATGGAGGTGTACTAATTCATCAGCCAAAGAGGGTGGGGACCTTAAGTCTTAATGACCAGGAGGGCTTTCCTGCCCATGTCTGACTTTGTGGGATCCAGAGTCAAAGTGGAGTACTCCGGAGAAATCTCCCTTGCAACTGTATACCTGTCCCCTGTAGTGGGTGGTGATGGTGATGTTTTTGAAATTGTTTCCAAAGTATGATTGCATCCAAATAACTATGTCCCAAGCCATTGCTTGACTAATCTGTGTGAAAGCCCTCCCAATTTTAGCACAAGTTCCCAAATATTATTTCGGAGGTCTATACAGAGTTGACAGAGCTGGGTTTGCCATTGTTATTTCCGGTACAGAGTTTGGTCAATGTTCGGTGACCTGTTTATTTTAATTCTGTAATGGTTTGGGAGACTAAGTGGCTTGTGAAGCTATTTCAGAGGCCATTTAACCACATCTGCTGTGGAATCATGTGTAGGCCAGACAAGGTAGAGACAACAGATTTCATTCCCTAAAGGCCATGAGTAAACCAATCGGCATTTACAACAATTGACCCATGGTTACTTCGTCACTGTCAGATGAGCTTTAAATTCCAGATTTATTCATTGAATTTAAATTCCACCATCTTCCATGTCCCCAGAACATTGGCCCAGGCTCCTGGATTACTAGTCCAGTGGTATTATCACTACACCATCACTTCTTCACGTTATTTTGATCTGAAGTGTACTTTCTGAAAGAGTGATGGAAACAGATTCAATAATATCTTTCAGAAGGGAATCAGATAATAACTCAAAGGAAAAAATAATGGCAGGATGATGGGAAAAGACCAGGGGACTGAAACTAATTCAAAAGGTCTTACAAAAGGGCACCAACAGGCACAATAGACAGGCAGTAATGTCTCCATATCTCAGGTTTGACTCTTGAGGGCTCATCAGGACAGGGAAAAAAAAAGTAGAAACTGGTTTCAGGCAGAGCCCTTTCATCTGATGAATGCAAACAAATGCACATTTGGCAGTCCATCAGACAGAAATGTAATAAAGCTGTTCTGCTGCTGTGTCATGTCATAAGCAAAGCCCAATTGTTTTATAAACAACAGCAGAAGTCCAAGATTAAATTATTGTCTCTAACTCACTGCCAATTTCTTGTTGATTTCTGTAATATACACCGTATTAACGTTTGAATTATTTTAAAGCCATGGCAAGCCAAGCAGTGGAGCAATGGCATGGGCCATAGGCTGGCAAGGGGGCGGGTGATCTCCTGCTTTGATTTCCAAGTTTTATTCGTTGCAGTGTGTGGGGGCCTTAAGTAGATTGCGCTGAATGGAACTAAATTTGTAAGTTTTAAGTCTTGTGATCTTTGGGAGCTCTACTTATATTTTAACTGTTTTGTCACCAGCAGGACATCTTTGTTTAATGCCAACAGTCTCTGGCTCCTTTTAAGTTTTCATTCTTGATTAGTGGATACAAAATGTAAAATTATTTCTGTCCTTACCTTACTCAGAGTTCTCTGCAGTTATCTCTTGGGTCTCAATTGTTCAATGATGTACGTTTTATTTTGTTATCTTCCCTCCTTTGGGAATTTCTTGGCCAGGTGCAAATGTGGGCAATCTATTCTTAGCCTCAATTACAGATTAAGAACTCTCTTGAACAGTTTACGAGACATTATAGAGTACTGGAACAAAAACAAAGTTGCTGAAAAAGCTCAGAGATAGTAGGAACTGCAGATGCTGGAAAATCTGGATGTACACAGCAGGCCAAGCAGCATCATAGGGGCAGGAAAGCTGACGTTTCGGGCCTAGACCCTTCATCAGAAATCAGGAGGTCTGGCAGCATCTGTGAAGGAAAAAACAGAGTTAAGACAGGTGACCCTTCCTCAGAACTGATAGCTTGGGAGTGGAAGGTTTTAATGGGTTGGTGTTGGTGTTAATGTCTCCAAAATCTGTTTCCTAACACTCGTATCCATCTCTCACATTTCCAATTTTGATCGACCCCAGAAGTTGGGAGATAAACCAACCCGATCCCAGAAAGTGGGTTGCAGATTTAAACATGATAATAAGGGGCCTCATTGACATCCAGGCTTTCAATTCCAGTTTTCTGGCTGTCCCAAACAGCGTGGAACCTGGCAGCTTCATTAAGTTGAGGACTTGGTGGATTTAGTGTGTAGCTTTCTGCACTGGCTGAGGTTTACCATGAAGTTCCCACCTTAACAAACTCACCTGTTGTCTGAGGCGTGGTGACCCTCAGTTTAAACTGGGCACCAGTTGTCTCTCTCTCTCTCTCCAATAAGAAAGCAGTCCTTTGGTCCTCTGGGACTGTGGTGACTTTTACCTTTCCCTTTCACAACTATCCTCCATCCTCTAAAGGAACTTTAAAAATCAGGCCCCTCTCCTCAAATGAACTTTTAAAACCCCTGCCTCCACCACCACCCACCCACCCCCAGCACTGAGTGTTCTCTGCCTCCCTTGGTACCATAACTCCACAACTGTGTTCAGGTACTTACACTTGGGCTATAATTATAGAGTCTCTGCTCCGTTAGGAGACATGGAGATACGCAATGCTGATTTTGTGCCAGTTAATAAGGGCATATTATTCTAAGCAAATTTCCTTGAAAAGGCTGCTGATTGATTTCCATTCATCTTCGGGATTTACAAGTTGGGATAAAGTGTTCATGCATTCCCTCCTTTCTCTGATGCTTGATCCTGCACTGCAGTATTAAGAGAATTGAATGTAGGAGCATGCCAAGCTGTTTTTAATCAACAACGTGATTGGCTTATTACCACACTTTGAAATGGGGATGCCCACTCCCCAACATACACATGCAAATGCAGTGTCAAGCCCTCTTTGGGGTGTGTCTTCACTGACAGTCACGGACATTCCAACTGGGCAGGCGATGTTATGCAAGAAAGCTGAAAAGAAACAAATGAAAGACAGGCCATGCTTTAATAGTAGCCGAAAGCAATGAATAGTAATCATGGATTTGTTTGGCATGTGTTGGACAATTGAGGTTAGTTGGTTCATAGATTGAGCAACTCAACCTGTAGAATTTTCTTTCTTCCTCCCTTCAATTAGCCTGTCTTCAGTTCCTGGTTGGAAAGCAGGCAGTCATGCATTGTTACTCAAGTTTTCAATGCAGCCAGATGTGTTAATCACAATTAATCACGGTGAGCTCCAGTTTTTGGCAGTACAAATATTCCAGTTTTCTGCTTGGCTGAGTCTGAGATGTCAGTTTCTTCAGTCCTAATCTCTCTGTATTCAGCAGAATTCTTCTGTATTTTAACATAGTGCAATGGTAAAATTAAGGAACCAAACTTCAAGTGGTTACTGAATTAATAAAGGAGCAGAGCAAGTGTTTTTTTTAAGTAACCATGATGGGATAAACATTTGCTACAGCCAGAAATGTGCGAAATGTTCCAATTGTATGTCTGTCCTTGTGCACTTAGAGATTGTAATGCATCAATTCTTCATTATATGCAATAAATGAACCAAATTCTACACCTGCAACAGTAATACAAAAAATAATAGTCAGCGACCATTTAAAATAAGGGCATAAATGAAGATGTATAGGCTTGAGGTAGACATTACAACTGCAGATACCTGAACTTGAACTAACACATTACAATTTGTGGTGAAAATCTAATGCCACCATCAAATCCAAAGATTTCAGTGAAGTTCCCTGCCCCACATCTCCCCTTTATTTTAGCTGACAAATCCCATGATTATTCTATTCAAATATAAACAAAATATGGATATGTGAAAACAGACGAGTAGAAATTTGTGCGCAGACTATGCATTTTCTTTCTTCCTGTCCCACTTCCTAATCTACATTTATGTTTCTCCAGGTATAGGCCGCCTGTGTATTCCTCTGTATACTGTACTTGAGGTCATCCAGAACTCTGTTGCCAGTGTCTTGACTCACAGCAAGCCCTGTTCTATCATCTCTGTGCACACTGACCTACATTGGCTCCCATTAAGCAACATCATGATTTTCAAATTCTAATCCTTCTTTGGAAATCCCTTCATGGCCTCACCCCTATCTCTAATCTCCACCATTCTCACAACCCACCGAGGTATTTGCACTTCTTAAATTTTGGCCTGTTTTGCATCCCCAGTTTAAATTGGTTCACCAGAGGGGCTCATACTCTTAGTTGCCTGGTCCCCACGATCTGGAATACCCTGCCTGCACCTCTCTACCGCAATTACCTCAGTTATAGCACTCTTTAAAACCTAACACTTTGTTGGAGAGGAATTTTAAAGAAGAGTCTGAGTCCTGTGTTCAGCAGCACCAATCCATCTTTATTCAAGAGTTCCTTACCAAGCAGCATGGAAGAAGCCACTGGAGATAGACTCCAAGACGTTCCCACTCTCCCTATAAAGTACAGTATATTTATACATTCTGTGTTACAATGATTACATGCAACATTGACATGCAGTGCTTGCCACCCCCACTCTGACCGTTGTGCCCCTCCCCAGACATTTGCCACCTGTATCATACTGAGTGGGTGCTGTTGGTGCCTCGTGAAGCTGTGATCGTTTATTTTCCCAAGGTCATAATGACTAAGTAATGTTTTGCAATTGCCTCCGTACAGTGCACTCTGTTTTCCGATGACCTTTCATGAGGTTATTCATTTATACCCTTCATTATATGTCATTCGGTCCTTATTGTTTGTACCATTTTTCCTTCAATTCCCCCCACTGATGGGATGGAGGCTTATCTCTACTATCCATAGCCATTTGTTTAAAGGGTGCTAGTTGCCCTTATAATTTCAGTGTACCTACATGTGTAGCATGTAATGGCAATTACTTAAAAAGTCGCTCAGTGGTTAGCACTGCTGCCTCGCAGTGCCAGGGACCCGGGTTCGATTCCACCCTCGGGTGACTGTCTGTGTAGAGTTTGCACATTCTCCCCGTGTCTGCGTGGGTTTCCTCTGGGTGCTCCAGTTTCCTCCCACAGACCAAAGATGTGCAGGCTAGGTGATTGGCCATGCTAAATTGCCCGTAGTGTTCAGGGATGTGTAGATTAGGTGGGTTGTAGGGGAATGGTTCTGGGTGGGGTGCTTTGATGGTCAGTGTAGACTTGTTGGGCTGAAGGGCCTGTTTCCGCACAGTAGGGATTCTATGATTCTATGGTGGGATTGGACCTTCCCTTCTACGCTTTACTAAATAACAAGTTTGCTCTTTCCCAGTAAGATTTCTATGAGGCATTTCATTATCTTATCTGGTTGCCATGCGTACAAAGGCCATGATTCTGACTGTAGAAACTGCTGCCTCAAATGACAATTCTCTTCACCAATGGGCAACTCCAGCACACGTTAATCGTGCTTTTGATCAGCTGATCTAAAATCTTATCTGGTTTGAAGCCAGATCTTGTTTCATAATGAAATGCTTTTTATGTTTCTGTACAGCAGATGATCTGTACAAATATAAGTTGTTATTGCAGTTGTCCCTGAATTCCTTTCTAGTTGGTAAATGTTCCAATTCCAACTTGATTTTATTTTACAGCCTGCACTTCCTAATTCTTTTCACCTCTCTACTTCCCTTCCTGCTTTTAATAAGCTCCCACATAAAGCAACTAAGGGCAATGGTGGTGTCATAGTAATGTCTCAAGATTAGTAATATAGAGGCCAATACTGATGCTCCCATGACATGGTTTGAAATCCCATCAAGGCTAGTGGTAATTTAAAATCAATTAATAAATCTGGACTAAACAGCTGGTCTCTGTAATGGTGACCATGACGATTTGTATATTAATTGTTGTATAAATTGTTGCATCTGATCTACATGTAACTCCAGACCCACAGCAGTGTGGATGACTCTTAACTGTTCTCTGAAATAGGAAGCAAGCCATTCAGTCTAAGGGCAGTTAGAGATAGACAACAAATGTTGGTCATGCAATAGCTGTGCACATCCTGTGAAAGAATAAAGAAAGCACATGTAAATGCCAGATACCTTTTATACATGTCTGTCGCTGAACAGGTGAAGGCAAGTACTGTATGTTATTGTCATTCAATGAATCGTTCCAGAGATCAATGTATATAATGACAGTTGAAGCATTGTAAGAAAAACTGACAGCGTTGTTTTCATTTTCAGTGGAAATGGCAAATTGGCATCCTGGACCTCCATCGCAGGGTTTGTCTTGATGATGTCGCTCGATGTTGGCCTGAGCTAACCTCAAGATTTATTCTGCTGAAGAAAATTAGTTTGGGAACAATCATTTTCTCCATTTAGAAAAAAGAAGTTGCATTTTCATTTCAAATCTATTTGACGAATCATCATGCAAAATTTTAATTTCAAGGTTGCTGCAATTAACTTGGCTCTCACTGAGAAATGATATTGACTTAGTGAAATATGTAGGCAGCTTCCAGTCTGGGGTTATTGTTAACACTTGACTGTCCAGCATCGTTGATTGTTTGACACTTGTTCCTCGTTTGTGGGTTTCCCAACTTTTGAATTCTTACTATTTTTCTAGTGTGCGGTTTTGTTTCAGTCTGCAGCTTATGGTCATTCAATTCTTGTTACCTCAGTGAAAGTATCACGGCTAAACATTCATCAGTATAAACCAAGGAGTCAGGTAAACTCGGGATTCCGCTGTTTCCCACTGCAAATTCTATTAATTCCACATTGAATTATTATAGTTCATTTAGGATCACCCATTGAAAGAAGCTTATCATTATGGTATGTCAAAGCATCAAAGGGACACTGTATTAAGAAGAAAACAGGCATGATGACGTTTTGAAGAATATTACTTTCACTGTGGAATATGGAACATATGATACCTTTGTTATTTATATATTTTGCAAAAAGATTTATCTGAAACACGTTATCTGCTCTCTTGTAACATGTTCAACTGTCTCACTCACATCAGTCTTCCAACAAAAACAAAATTGCTGGAAAAGCTCAGCAGGTCTGGCAGCATCTGTGAAGGAGAAAACAGAGTTAACATTTCGGGTCCGGTGACCCTTCCTCAGAACTGC